GATATGTATTCACTTTTGCCCAGAGCACCCTTAAACGTCCCCATCTGCTTAAGTTAGCTCACGGTTTGCATTCTTAAGAATATTTTGCTTAGAAACGAAACCAAAAATGAGGGTGATGATGAAGACAGTAACAATGGCATTAATCAGAAATTCTTAATCCCTTATACTGACATAGAGCATTGCAGTTGGCAAAGCATCTGACGAACTATTTGTATCTTAGCTTGAGGAACCTTCCAGAGTCACACAGTTAGGAGGTGGCCAGAGCTCATCCTGCCCCTAAGAGGAGTCATGGCAGCCTCCTGATGACCTTCCTGTCATCTCCAGCTGGTTATTTAGCTCCTATAAACCCCTGCTTCTTCCATAAAATGGAACCAAGTCACAGAGATGGAGACTGTGAGAACAGTAGCTCATGCCAGCCGATTGCAAATTGTTCTGGAACTCTGTGCCCTGGGTGTGACAGAGTTGCCTCTTGAAATCTGAAGTTCAGGAAATGCCATATAAGAGAGCCTCGAGTGAGCATCTTCTGGCTTTGTGACTATGTGATGGAGGGGCGTCAATAGCAGAACAGAACGTGGGGGAGGCCCATGCTTAGGCCCCACTTCCCTCTCCTAGGAAGCCCCCAATCTCCTCTGGAGGCCTCCAACCTCATAACCTCCTCCAAACCTAATCATTTCCCAAATACCATCAACACAACCATGGTGTGAAGGAGGGGCCGGGAGGGGTGGGAAGAGACGCAACACCCATTCAAGGCATAGCAGTGGGTAAGAAAAATACAAGGCGTGTTGAGGCAATGTGTTCTCTCCAGCTGGTCCTTGACCCATCCATGGATTGCGGAGCCACGCACAGGAGCACCTCCCGCGCCATCTCCCCATCCTTCTGTCAGGAGCCGCAGGTCGCTGCAGGCTTCCAGGGAGTTTGTTCTCCTATCATTCCTCTCTCACCCAAGCTCTTCTCGCTCTGCTAAACACCAATTTACGTGTGAACTCTCTCTGACCCCCTATCTGTACAGAAACATAAATATTTACTGAATTGCTATGTTAAGAGGGGAAGGCGGGCTCTCCTTGCCTCTGCTCTGCTTGGGGACGTCCCTGTTGGTAGCAGCGGCGTTCTTGGGAACGGGCATGCAGCTGCGTTCTTCATCTTAAAGCTGCTGTGTTCAGTCAGAAGAGCCACACTGGTGGGGAGTGTTGTCACCCACTAGTTTAGCAGCCGTGGTAGCATATATTTCTGTGAGGTGCTCCTGTTTTGATGGTAACTGACATCTAGTTGAGGCCTTCTCAATTATGCCTTTGAAAATGGGGTTTCTGAAGTTAAGAGTTAATACATATTGAGTGTTAATTGTGTGCCGGGGGCATGTATTGTCACATTGAATTCCCAGAGCAGCCAAGAGAGGATTTGCTGGTAAGGAAACTGAAGCATAGATAGGTTAAGTATCTTGCCCTAAAGCCACCCAGCTGGTCAGTGCAGGGAAACAAACCTGCAGCACAGGCTGATCACAACATTCAAAGGACACATGTAAGTAGCACCTCTAGTTTAGTTTTTACATTCAACTAGTTTTGTTGTGAGATATTACTAAAGCAAACCGCCGAAAGTTTGCTGGGGTCACAGGAACGAAGTTAGTGCCAAACAGTCCTCTATTCCCTGATTTGCTCAGGGAGCATCTGCAAGCACCATGAAGGTCAGGCCTGCCCTAAAGGGAAGGTAGACTCCATACCAGTAGCCGCTTATCTGTGTGTCCCAGAAAGGAACGACACGCCCCTCGTGGTGGGGACTGTGCCCCCTGCACAAGGAAGTGGACATGGGTCTAGGGATGGAACGAGATGATCTGAATCTAGAAGTTCATTTCGGTTAAGAAGCTAGAATTGGTCCTAGCAGCTAGGCCATGATGCGGAGGGGGCACAAGCAGATCGATGGTGTGAACTGGGCTTTGGGAATTCAACCGGCACAGCCGAGGAGGGCAAAACCATCCAACAAACCATGTGCCAAATTCAGTTTCCTGGGTCATAACGTGTGACCTTGGGCAAAAGAGTCACCTTCCTAGACAGATTTGTGGGTAGTCCTACGACCCATATAGGAGGATTGGCACGGCAATCTGACACGTTATCACTTATGACAGCAGGTAAATTCAGCACCCAGGAAATATTGGCTCGGACCACAAATATATTTTCTACTGTTGGTGCTAATTTGGTGTGATTATGAGTGCGTTAGTACTGCCTGTTCATGATAGCTAATCTTTATCGTGTGCGTGCATGTGTGCATGTGTGCGTGTGTGTGTGCGTGTGTGTGTGTGTGTGTGTTCATATCAGCAGCATTTCCCCCACTCCGGGGCTAGGGAAGCCACAAGGCTCACCCAGATTAAACCAGAACAGTGCTATGGATCAAAAGCCATTACTGAATCCTAATATCAATTTAAAGAGTTATAATCAGCCTTCCTTTAAAAATTAAAGATCGATGGGCTAGAGAAATAACTCAGTAGTTAAAAGTGTTTGTTCCTCTTTCAGAGGACCCATGTCAGGTAGCTCACAACCAGCTGTAACTCTAACCCTGGGGAAGTGAGGTGCTCTCTCCTGACCTCTGCAAGTGTGCACACATGTCCCCCACACACATACACATACAATCTTTTTAAAAAAAAAAACTATTAGATTAACCTGGGAACTATGAGCAAGCATTAGCTTCCATGCTTCTATAACTTTTATAGATTTTTCTGCTTCCAGTAACATATTCCATAAATATATTCACTTACCAAAGTATGTATGGGATGCATTGCGAGTTGGTTTCTAAGCTGAGAATTGCAGTCAGGGAATTCTGAAGGCCCCAGGAGAGAAGGTGTGGATGCTCTCTGGTCTTCCCTGTGGCCTTGCTTTTCACACCCTCAGAACTTGGTCTTGGCAGTGAGTGTTGGGAGGCTGAGCATCAAGACAGCAGAACTCAAGGGCTGGAGAGATGGCAGAATACACTTCTGGATCCCCATGTGGTGATCCAATGCCATCTCCTGGCTTCTGCAGGTACCAGACACACCCTTGATACACATACATACATACATTCAGGGAAAGCATTCATACACACAAAATAAAAATAAGTAAATATTTTTTCAAAGACGACAGAATTTAGAGCCTAGATTTGGGCCTTCATCATATGAATTAATTCTTGTGTGTCTTGGGTTAAACCACTGGCCGATTATCAAGCATGTTTTGAGAATGAAGACCCCAAGAAATTCACTCCGTATTGACTGCTTCTAGGCACAACTTTGGTCTCTGTAGTAATAATGACTTCGCTTCTACTGACTCACATTACATGCCTAGGTGGGAAGCTAAATGGTTCAGGATCCATGAAAACAGTCGCATGTGTGCTTCATGGTTTTTATGCAGCACCAATAAAATCACAAATGTTTATGCTCTGAAAAGTGAAGGAAAATATGTCAGGAAAAGTCTAGAGTAAGCACTCGGGATCCATAATCCCTCCAATGACATCGAGTGCTAACTCCAGACCATCTCCCTGCAAAGTGGTTTTGGTGTTCAGCTTAGGGTATAGGGCTGGTCTTAGTGCATCCAGAGGGCTTCTTAAGAGGGTGGACAGAGTCTCCCACTGGAGTAGAGCTAGGAGCTACCCTGGAGAGACTCTTTGAGGAAGGAAGGGAGAAAGGGATGGAGGGAGAGAGGGAGGGAGGGAGGAAGGAAGGAAGGAAGAGAGAGAGGAAGGAAGGGAGAGAGGAAGGAAGGAAGGAAGGAAGGAAGGGAGGGAGGGAGGAAGGAAGGAAGGAAGGAAGGTCTGAAGAGCTGATGCAGGTGCCTATGACCACAAGCCAACCTGCTAGTCCTCCAACCAAATCAGGCTTTGTTTGTCCTGCAACATGTTGCGAAATCAAAAATAAAAAAGTTTATATCTTTAAATAACGTATTTCAATTCAAAATCCAAATTCCCAGCTCATCTTAAAATTTCAGAAAACATCTCCCAACCCCTCCCCGCCAAACACCAGTGGCACCATTGGCAGGCACTAAATGCCACTCTGGCTGGCAGAGTCTTGTCCAGCAAGAGTCCCCGGTTTTGTTTTGTTTATCACAGAGCCTCCTGCTCTGCCATTTTTTCTAGCCAAACAGTGAAGAAGGAAATGTTTTGCACATCCATGTTGTTGTGATGAGTGGAACAGAACGGAGGAGGTTGTAGGCTTCCAGAAAGGAAGGCACAGTGTCTGGTCAGTCGTTTGAATGAAACATCGATTTCCTCCTGTACTGTACTCCTGGCCCGTTCAGGGGTGGGGAGAGCTTGTGTCTGTGCCCCAGACTAAAGAAAGACTCTGGAAGGAGAAACGAAGATGCCATTCAGCTAAAAGCTCTCAGGCCTTCAGAACAGAGCAATAAATCCGCTGCCATTCTGACCTGGGTGAGCAGAATCTCAGCGTAGTGTTAATGTGTAGCCAGAATGGCCAGTCATTGAAAAAAAACATGGATAGCAACGAATGCTCGTCGTGAGGACATGGAACGGCGAAAACCCCGGTATACTCCTGGTGTGGAAGTCAAAGCAGCCACAGTTTAAATCAGTGTGGAGATGGCTGCTGGAGACAGTATGATGTCTGCAGACCTACAGTGACTTAGTGAGATTGCTGAAGAAATAAGTCCCAGCCTGGCTATGGTCCATCATCTCTCAGATACACCAAGAGCCCCTAAGTCAGGGTCAGGCCCTCTCTCAGATGAGAAGTAGCAAGGATTCTTCTGCCTCCAACCCTCCCGTCTTTGTTGGTAGCCCCACTGATCTCCATCCCTAGAGGAAAGCATGGGGTAGCCTCAGGTAGGTAGGCCCAGCAACAGAAAGAGAAAGGATTGTCCGTGAGAGGTGCCCTACGCTGCTGGCTGCAGGGTAGCAATGGAGCCTGCCCACACCTCAGCAGCCTGGTCTTTGACTCGCTTTGCTCCTAGAGTACTTCTGGTCCAGGACAGACACTGGCGTTGCCTCTCCCAACCCAAATCTGAGGCTCAGCATTGCTTTGCTTTTCCCCACTACAGACCGCTCGGCCCTGAGTGCGGCAAGGGCCCAATTCGTGGATGTGGAAGAGCGTGGGCCGGAGGCCATGGACGTGAAGGAGAGGAAGCCCTACCGTTCGCTGACCCGGCGCCGCGATGCTGAGCGCCGCTACACCAGCTCGTCGGCAGACAGCGAGGAGGGCAAGGCCCCGCAGAAGTCCTACAGCTCCAGTGAGACCCTGAAGGCCTATGACCAGGATGCCCGCCTAGCCTATGGCAGCCGCGTCAAGGACATGGTACCCCAAGAGGCCGAGGAGTTCTGCCGCGCGGGTGAGTGCATGCCGGAGTGTGGGCTGAACCCGAAAGAATACAGGTGATGCGTGAATGAAAATGCAGGTGAGCTGGACTCTAGAGAGGGAGGAGGTGACTCTAGAGGAATCCAAGTTCCTGCTATTTGGGGCCCTGGATCTGCTGAGAGTCTACCCTGCAGTTCATACTGGGACAGACATGTTTTCTGGGTCAGCTGCCTTGCTCAGAGTGCTGGCTGGAGGCTGGGCTCGGGTACCAGCCTGGAATCAAGCTCTTCCGCTGCTACCCCTGGTCCTTGTTAGCTGGCCTTGAGCAGTCTCCCTGCTGCTGTGACTGGTGAGGGGGACAGGGGTGTGGACACCTGTACGTTGTAAGCAGTGATAACAGAGGTAGGTGTTAGATAAACACCAGTGCTTAGTGTGTGGGTTTATCCATTCAAGGAGCATATCTTAGCACCTTCTCAGTGTGAGCTGCGTGACCTTGAGAGATCCTGCTCCTGGGATGATTAGACTGAACCGCTTAGCAACTGGAAGACATCCTGCTGTTAGATACCCCCCCACACCCTTCTTCCATCCAGTCCTCAGCCAAGTCTAGCCACTCTTTCCCAGAATACCTCTCAGTCAACCCCTTGTCTGCTTCCCCTCTGCCACTGCCCAGTCCTGGACATGGTTATATGTCCTGGAAGATTGGCCTCGATAACCATCCAACCTAGAGCTGCCCATTCAGGCATAAGCCTCAGTGAAGCCCGAGAGTGACTCCCAACGCTAGGAGTCCTTCCTCAGTTTCCTCCTCGGCTCCCTAGAATTTTTTGTCTCCGGCCTCTCCACCCCACCCATGGCCTAGCCCATCTGAACGGTTGCTGCATCCTGCAACTGTGATTGCTTCCTACCGTAGAGTCTTCAAGGAGCCTGTTGTTCTGCTCCAGGCCTCTGTGAGTCCTGGTAGGTGACCTTGTTCCTTCCCAATGACAGCAGTCTGTGGGATTCTGCCCTGTGCTCCTCCCCTCCACAGACAGCATCAGCCACGCATGATTTAGACATGTGCTATGCAATTTAGACATGTTTTAGCACTGCTGTTTAATCCTCACAGCAACCCCAGATTGAATCGTGTTTCCAAGATCAAACAAGAAAGAGGAGCATGCAGGCATACACACATGCACACACACACACACACACACGTATCTATGGCCTCATTCCCACTCCCTCCCGCAGGCCTGGGTCCACATGAAAGCTGTCCCACTAGCAAGGCTGCCTCTCAGGCTTGAAAACTGTCGTCTCCACAGCTCTTCCCTGGCTCATGATTTAGAACTTCTGCCCTGGCATCCGACAGATCCAAATGTGAATCTGGCTCTGCACTGGTTTCAGCCCTCAGCATCCTCACCTGTGCAGAGGGACAATGGCACCTGATGGTAGGGTGCTCGTGAGGGTTAGTGAGGACCGTAAACAATATCCTTGCCACTAGAGCCTGGCATGGAACCCATGCTTTATGAATGCTACTGACTTTATATTGTCACCTCCGAGCCTCAGTGAAGGCAAGAGACAAAATACCTCCAAGCTTTCCTCTAGCCCTGCCCAGCCCATGCTCAACAAAACTAAGTGAGCCCACGGCTCAGATGCAAGCCCAGCGCAGCAGGCCGAGGAAAGGAGTCCCTCTGGTCCTGGGGAAGAACATCTAGGCATCTTCAAGCATGTGCTGTCCCGTTTGCTAACGGCCATCTGGGATCTTAAAAGATCGCTTGAAGGACCAGGGCATGGGTTATCCCCCGACTGAAGGAAGCTCAGGTGACCTCCAGACCAGAGTTTGCAGTTAGACTCTGAGAGAGGTTAGGATGGCGACCCAGGGTCTGGGCTCTTCAAGAAAGAGACCACATGGTGAAATGACTCTCCCACCTCACGGAGGGGCCCAGTTGGCTCACTGGGATCCCTAACTCTCGGACTTAGCCCTTACCTTGCAACCCTTCTCTATCCAGATGCCTCTGCTCATCAGTACGAATGCCAAATCTGTCAGCTTAAAAGGGAACGGAGGGAAAGCCCTACGGAAATCAATGCGGCTTAGGCTGTTTACGGCAAATAAATATGAGTTTTCACTAAGCAGAGTGGCCTCTCTTGAGGGGGTTAACCCAGTGAGCGCGGCTATGGCTGGGTGGAGAGCAGGAGAGGACAAGAGGGCGCACAGCAGTCAGGACTCGGAATCTGCAGAGACCTGGGAAGGACCTGGGGACTGGGCTCCAATGTGCACGTCATCACTTGTTCTTAGAAGGAGAAAAATGTATGAGAGAGGAGTGGAGTATGGCACACAGGAGTGAGGTTCCAAGTATGTAACCTTTGGTCAGGCCAATACCCCAGCCGATCCCAACATTTGACTGGCCGCTGAGCAGAACCCAGAGGTCCCTGAGGTCCAGGGCCTGCTGACATGAAATTAATTGTCTGGCATCTGGATCTGAGGGGGTAATAGATAGGGGTGGAAGAGAAGTGGCTGGAACAGCCAGGGCAGAGTAAGGGGGGGAACTAGCGGCTCCAGATACTGACGTATTTTTTACCCACTAGCATGGAAGGGTTTTACGACTTTGCCCTCAAATCGTGGCTGTGCCAGCCTCTGAACTCTTTCCCATTCCAAATTCCTCTGGCCTGTCCGGGAAAGAACTCTTGGCTCCAGAGATGTGTGCAGGGCTCACTCAAGAAGTTTCTGCCCGCGTCTGGACTTTACTGGCAAGTTCTATTTGAGAAGGGAGACAGAAACCTTCGATGCAATTTAACAGACGTATTAAACTGAGTGCCTTCACTCTACTGGGTTTGTCTGGAGACACATAAATTTAGAAATAAACAAGACATATAGCATCTGCTTGCATAGAAGCCACCTTCAGCAAAAGTGGCAGACAACGGCACCATCTAACATCACCGAGGCAGGGCATCTCCCAGAGGGAACTGGGAGAGACAGCAAACTCTGCACACATGTAGGTAGGTAACACGGAGTTTCCACGGAGGAAGGCAGCAGCTTGAATCAGCATTGATGCACAGCACTTGGCAGGGGAAGGAGGGGCAGGAGCCCTGCACGCCGAGGAGGGGGCTGGGGCTGTACAGTGAGTTTGGAGTACAGCAGGAAACCCAGCCGTAAGGGGCTTCTTGTGTGGAAAACTCTCCCAGCCCCTTCACCGTAATTACCTTGTCTCCCTTCAGGCACCAACTTCACCCTGCGTGAGCTGGGGCTCGGGGAGATGACACCCCCTCATGGGACCCTCTACCGGACAGACATCGGCCTCCCTCACTGTGGCTATTCCATGGGGGCCAGCTCCGAGGCAGACCTGGAAGCCGACACTGTACTGTCCCCTGAGCACCCAGTGCGCCTGTGGGGTCGGAGCACACGGTCAGGACGCAGCTCCTGCCTGTCCAGCCGGGCCAACTCCAACCTCACGCTCACAGACACGGAGCACGAGAACACGGAGACTGGTGAGTGCCTCCTCACCTGGCCTGTTGGTTACGGGGATGGCCAGACTGTGGTTTGCATTATAATATTGATTTCTTGCTCTCTCCCTGGGGCTCTGGGGAAGCTGATGAAAAATGGCTTTGCCTTCAGTGGGCAAGAGTCAGAGCCTTCTATAATGTCGCATGAAAGGCCCACCCATCAGTGATGTGTCAGAGACTTTGAGTCCGGACTAGGGCAAGGCTAAAGTGCTGGGTTATTACTCACAAGGTAAGGGAGCAGAGGGCTGCCGGTGTCAGTAACCCATCCCCTGGAGAGCTGGTTCCCTGTGAACTGTGCAGTGCTCAGCTCTGCTCCCGTACTCTCCAGCAGCCAGCTGCCCCTCCCCCACCAGTCCTAGGCCATCTCCAGGGCCACTGTCCAGTCCCGCTGTCCTTTGTTGCTCAGAAGAAGGGTCTACAGACTAAGACTGTCATGTAGGAGCAACTTGACCTTTGGGGTGTAAAGGAGATAGAGGTCAAAGGCTCCAAAGTTTCCAGTAGGAGGAATAAGTTTATATGATGAATGTGTGGAATTGCCCAGTCACCCAAAAGCTTGGAGTCAGGAAATCATAGTTTGCTTAAAGTGGGTCTATTTGCATAGACATTCCTGCTGAAGATTTCTACCCCCCCCCCAGATCTGAAATCTAGAAATTTCCTATTCCAACACGATGTTCAGAATTTCAGATTTCAGAGTTTCTGCTTTTAAGACGAAGGGTCTTCAACCTACTATGAGTATTTCAAACTCACTAAAGGTGTAGGTTACCAAGGTCCCCTCCTCCCTCAGAGTATAAGGTGGTAGACTCGCAGTCAGCCGGATTGAATCCTTCCACTGCATGCGCGTACGTCTATGGAAACATCGCATGATAACCTGTCGATGTATGCGATCGCCGTTCGTCAGTTAAGAGTTGAGAAAGTAAAAATAAGCTTTGAGGTGGAAAGGGGGCCTTGCTCCACGCCTGCCTGTCATGAGGAGCTGACTCCAGGCTGTGTTTCATCCTCCGAGGCCCCGGGGTGCTACAGTTTTAGGAAAAGAGCAAGTAGTTTGCACATGTTTTTATGTCCGAGGGATGGGAGCTCAGCTTCAGAGTCATCCTCTCCCCTCAGATCTTGTTGGTGGGGCCCTGAGGAACTCAGAGTCCACCTTGGTCACTGTCAGAGCCCAGAACAGCTTCATCCGGGGAGGCTTTTGTTTCTGAGACGCTTGGTCAGGGGTCTGGGCTCTTACTCTCAACTCCTATAACAGGCACAATGCAACATGGGATGTTGTAATAAAACAAACTAATGAAGGAATGAGAAGAGCCAGCCAGATGCCAGAGCCCCCTACTGGCTGCCAGCTCTAAATGCAAAAACCTGGATTCCTAGCCAGCATCTGGGTCAGGATGAGGACTTAGCCCATTTAGTCCATAACAAGACAGCTCCAGCTGAGCTGCCGAAGATCAAAGCCCAGATTAGAGATCAGGCAGCTGACCATGAGAGCCAGAACCAGGTAGAGGATTTCATCCCTCTTAAAGAGCCAGCAGCAGCAGGATTCCAGATGTCTCTTCTGCCATCTGGGCCAGTGGCATCCTTCCTAGGAGTGGGGGAGGAGAGACAGGGCCTGGGCCCTGCCCCAACTCCAGGGAGGGTCCCGCGGCCTCAGCCCCTGTGGCTCTTCCCTCCCACCGTGGATAGCTTGTACCGTTCATCTCCCACGAAGGCCCAGGTTGAGCTGGCAGCCCCGTCCGTCACTCCCTAACCTGTGGAAGTACAGCACCTTTTGAAACAGCGCTCAGAGAAAATGAGGTCTGGTTGGGGGAACAGGAAGTCTTCTGTCGCTGGCCTGGAGAATGGTTGGGCTGCGTCCCCTCTCTCGTCCCCTCTCTTGTCCTCACGCTCCTCATCTACAGTTTAGTGAAATCAGCAGCTCTCATTTCCTAAGCTCTCAAATTAGGAGAAGGGGCGCGTTGGGCACGTTTTGTGATCGTGAGGAAGCAGGAGATCCTCTTGTGCTGGACTGCTCTGAGCCTTTGAAATATTAACATATATGCTGATGGCTAAATGACCAGCATTTGTAGGTCGCCCACCTCATAGCCTTCAACCGCAGAACCCAGCTCATCTGGGAGGGGGCGGTGTTCTGATAGCTGCTTCTTATACCAGCTGAGCTGAATGACGTCCAGGACTTGTATATGTGGGATTCTGACTGATGGGATTCTGACGGAGACAGGCCTGAAAGGATTAGGGGCACGGAGAGTTAATCACCGCACCTGATTATCAACGTCTGAGCATGGCTGGCCGCGTACTCCAGCCTCAGGAGCTCACTGACTACCGCTTCAACTCTTGGAAGTCAGTTTCTTTACAACCATTGCACAGAAACAAGGAAGTGTAACCGCAGAGACCAAGAAGTCTGTCTTTCCGGCTCACCTGCTGGCTAGATGGAATTAGAACTCGGGCCTTTTAACCGATCTGAACTCGTAACTTCATCAGCTTTAGTTATCCTGTTGAATTCTCTGAGTAGAAAAATGCTGGGGTTGGGTGTTCTTTTGAAGGCTTCTTGCTAGGGCGATTGAGGATCATTTTCTGTAAAGTCATGACAGCATAAGACATACACCGCCCACTTTATTGTATATCCAGGAGAGCTGGATTAAGCCTCTGTTGGGGGGATAATGACATGCACTATGAGCCAGCAGACAGCGGGGCCAGCAGGTTGGTGGCTGGTTACCCAGCGTAGGCATGGCTCCCTTTCCCTGCTTCTATCTCCACTGGAACCACAGAGCTAAGGCAGCTATACTCAGAAGAAATGAAGAGGCAAAGGAGAGGGAGGGGAGTCCAACAAAAGACCCTGATTTCTGCATCCCTTTCAGGCATGGCTTCCCAGAGCAGGCACCCACAGGTTTCCATCCTCTGGAACCCTGACTCCTTGGCAAGTTGTGCTAATGGCTGTCGTGATATTGATCATCAGAATACCTTGCTATGATTCATTGCTCAGCTGGGGAAACTGAGGCTCTGAGAGGCCATGCCGTCTGCGTCAAGAGTGTCTGTTCTTCCCAGACTCCCCTCTTCCCCTTGCCCTTTCCATGGAACCTCCCACCATCCCGTCCTCTGCTCCTCCACCGCCCACCCCTCTAGACCTGGCTCTCTCCGTTTCCTCTGAGGAGGGCTTGGATCTCATCAGAGGAGGAGGGTTCCATGCACTGGGTGTGTTAGTTATTCATCCCAGTGAGGCCACCGCTCAGGAATAAAGGAAATCCAAGAGCCCCAGTGCATGCATGGGATGGCCTCTAACTGTCACAACACGGCAATGGCATTCCCACCTGCCAGCTAACACAACAGTCACCATCAGCACGCTGGCAAAGCTTTGATTGGACTGCAGGTCTCTTTGGTCCCTCGCTTGCATCCCTCTGAGTCATAAGGAGTTAGGGTCTCTCACTTGAGAACATCAGCAGTGTGCATCCAAGCTCTCAGAGGGACCTCCTGATAGATGTAAAGGGCAGAGCATAACCCCTGTGACCTCCAGCCACACAAGCGTGCGCTCCACTTCCACACCTGGCCTTGCGTCAGTCGAGTATGGTCAACAGTATTGACAGCGGTGGGAGCTTCCGATGAGGTCACAGGGCTGCTGTGTGCAGCTGTCATCAGTAATAACTTGTGTGGGATCCATTAAGGCCAATTTCTGTCCCTGAAAGTTAATGTCAGCAGCTCTTATGTCACTGCTTAACATTCGAAATAAATACAAAATTGACTGGGTGATAGAGACACAAGCCCGTCCTCCTCACAACCATCAGCCAGAGAAATCCTTCAGGTCCCTCCTCCTGGTGCAGTCCAGCAAGCCGCAGGCAGTCAGGAGACTCTAGTATGACAGACACCCAGTAGGCATCCGATAAATGTTTTTCAGAGGGTAGAGGACGTGATCTGGGCTCCATCCCCAGCACTGAGGCAGAATAGCAAAAATCTCTCTGTGGATTCATGTGGTATGTGTGGTCGCTGAGTGTCTCCGGTGTGGCAGGCTTTCTTCTAGAAGGTGAATGCAGAGCAGTAGTGGGCGGGATGGGAAGTTAGTCCCCTGTGGTCCTGTATGAGAGCAGAGGCGTCCAGCATTGGAAAGAACTGACTGCCCCTGAGGAGACCGGACCTTGCCGTGAGGTGCAGTGCACCAAGTCCCAGCTGCCAGACCTTGAACAAGTTGGTTCACCTCTTTGAGCCACGGAGCCTGGATTTAAGAGCAACACATTGGTGGTCCTTAGAGGCAGGGAAGGAGATCCTGACGGTGATTGTTACGGGCTACAGAGTTCCAGTTTGGAGGGTGAGGCAGTTCTGGAGATAAATCTAGTGAAAGTTATACCACTTATTCACTTTAAAAGCCCTGATATTAGGTTTAATTATCATAGTTAAAAACTATAAAATCTGGGGATTGGGGAGATAGCTCAGTCAGTAAAATGCTCCCTGTATAATAATGAGAACCTGATTCCATCCTCAGAAGCAGCATTTTAAAAGAATAGAAGGCCAGGAGTTATGGTAACCTTGTGATCCTGATACAGGGGTCATGGAGACAAGTGGGTCCCGGGTCTCACTGGCTAGCCAGTATAATCTAATTGTCAAGCTCCAGGCCAATGATAGACCCTATCTTTAATAACAATAACAACAACTGTAATAATTAGGTAGACAGTGCCTGAGTACCCATACCCACTGTTGACCTCTGGCCTCTACATGGGCACACATACCCCTAGACTCATCCTGACCTACACAAATATGCATGTACAAGCACACAGACAAACAAAAATAATGAAACATATAAAAATCCATGCCATCTTTGAGGCGTTGCTAGCCTATACACCACTTGGGAAGTCCCTGTTCTCTGAGTCCTGAGGCATCTGACGGTGGTATTTGCTTAAGGGTCCAGAGGAAGGAGCCATTCACTTTCCCTGAGTGTGCAAAGGGCAAGGTCCTCCTCCCCACTCGTGTTTATACCTGGGTCTCGGGGCCTGGTAAGAGCTGACTGCGCACTAGAG